CTGAAACTTTTTTGGAAGGTGTTGAGTCTTAGCATTTCCATATACCAGACTACTGCTTTGATTTGAGATTATAATGTCTGTTACAGTACTTGTGGCAATTATTCAGTTTGAGGTATCATGATCTTTTTCTACTGCTTGAAGTAATGTGTGGTAGTGCTAAATGTGATGGAGCTTTTATTTTGCCCTCAGTGAACATGCCGTCCATCATGTGCAAGCACAAGACATTTTTAGGTCCTTCTTAACAACATGGTGATATTTTTAATTCATGAATTGATAAATGTTTATCTTCTTCTAGAGTACTTGTGGCAATTATTCAGTTTGAGGTATCAGGATCTTTTTCTACTGCTTGAAGTAATGTGTGATAGTGCTGAATGCGATGGAGCTTTTATTTTGCCCTCAGTGAACATGCCATCCATCATGTGCAAGCACAAGACATTTTTAGGTGCTTCTTAACATTATGGTGATATTTTTTAATTCATGAATTGATAAATGTTTATCTTCTTCTAGAGATGTTTCTGTTTTTCATTACCCACTTTTGCATCATCCTGTACACTGCATTCACCTTCCTTAAAATGCTTTTGTTATTTGAATACAGCCATGTTACCAATTCCTTCTTCATTTAATTCTTTTACCATTTCAAATGGTTCCTGTGATTTTTACATGTCTAACATGAAAGTCAGCAGTGATTCTTCATTTGGTAATAAATGGTTTATACTTTTGATCTGCACTTGGAATGCACATTGTGATTTAAATTCAGTGATGAGCAAATGGCTGTCTATTCTGTGTTGGCTTTACTGCTATTAATAAAGAATGATACAAACTGTTTTCACAGGTTGCAACCATGAAATCAGGGGCAATGTTGGCAGTCCATGAATTTTCAGAGTAGCCCTCAACTTGTAATATGTGAGCAGATAGACTGTAACAATTTAGCTTTATTTGATTTATTTCTTAGATTGGAATCATGCACATATGACCAATTGATCAAGAAATGCATACTTGTGGAAGCTTACAATTCTCTTTATATAAATTTCTGTGTATTGCTGCATGCAGATATATTATTGGTATTATTCAACCCCTTTTTTAAATAGTCTGTCAGTTAAGCATTGTATGATTACCATAAGCAGTTTTGTAGTAGCACTTTGTAAGATGTTTTGAAACTTCGAAATATTAATATTTTTAGGAGCTTTGATCTGGAGCAGCAAATTGCATCTCTTCCGAAATGCAATATTGAAATTTTAAGCAAGAAGAAAAGAAAAGACTAACATGTAAGTTAACTGATTTTTAAGTTTTCCTTTTCTGTTTGAGTGAGCATTAGATTTATTTTTGCAAATGATGAAAACAGTTCTGCTCTGAGTCCAATGAGAAATAACAATTATGCTTCTGCCTCCAGGTTTATTTAGAACAATACAGTTTAGAAAGTGCCATTCACTTTATATTCTCCATGCATGTACTTTTCTGAGATTGTAGCGGATTTCATTGCTCCAAAGCACATATTGTCATTGTTGAAAGCTCAGAATTCTTTTGAGTTTTACACCATTATAATTGATACTAGCATTGGTTGTGTTAAGGTTCAGTTTATATGTGGCTGCTCGGCTCTGGAATCCTAGAGTTTAGAGGTCTTGGCATATCATCATTGTGCTTATGTAACATTCAGAAGCATTTTAAAATATGTTATGCATGCTCTCTGTGAATTCTTATATGGCTGTGTTTCTTAATCCTCTTGAACACTTTTCATCCTCTCTGTGACAGACACTATAGTCCACCAAATCTTATTATGGCTGTAGCATTTTTACACACTTCACTGTGAAATCATTTAGAGTCGATCAAGATATGTAATATTGCAGAAATTTACCATGGATTCTCTGCTCTAGCACCTAATAACTTCATCATGTTCTTTGTCTGTGGGCCCATATTTTCTTCCATTTTGAGTTTCTTAATTGCAACCATCATGAACTTTCCTGTCTCCTTTTGTACTTGTCTCAGCCTGTGTTGTGAAATTCAATCCATGACCAAGAGGTGTGTTTCCATCTGCATAACTGGGGCAGGGCTGAGGTCTAATCAATATATCAATTGTGCAACACTGAGGAACAATACACTGCCACCTGTGATAAGCAAAGGAGGTCCCAGTAAAAAAAATACTTAAAAAACTATGAACTGCATTCCTTCTCTTTTTTTTTTTTTTTTCTAAGAACTTCATTTCCCAACAAGTACATGGTTGCTACAAAAAGTCACATATTCTTCTAAATGGGACAATTGGTTGAGACTACAAATTACTGTTTTGGTCTTTCAGATAATGTGAAAAATTTGGATGTTAAATAAGGATTAAATAACTAAACTAAAAATTATTTTAATGTTCATCTTGTATGTTTATAAAGCGTAAAAAATCATCTATGAAAACTTGTTAATTTATCTTGGGACTCGGAGCTTTTTTACAAGATCGTTAAGTCATAGGTTATATCATTGATGTGTGTTATATGTGTGTATGTTTGTGTGTCCATATTTATATATAATAAACATACATAATTTATTTTTATATGTATAAGATGTTTGAGACCAAATACTTAACAATTAATGTTATTATAATTAAGACTTTATTTTTTCTTTGATACCCTTTAATTTTGTTAGAATATGTATGTGCTTAACTTCTTTTTCTTATATTCCTTTTCAGTTGCTTCTGTGGTTTGGCATTAAAGCATCTGTAGTGTAGTCTTTTGATTTTAATTCCTTGTATTAAGTAAAAAGGAAGTATTCTAATCGCGAAAAGTTTCAGGCACCATATTTCAATGAAAATATCCAATTTAACAATGTTTTTATGTGACATCTGTACGTAGGGACAGAATAAAAGACTCTTTTCCTCCAAAAAATTATAAAACTGCTTTAAAATGAATTCTGAAGAGAATTTTTCGTGGCATTTGTATGTGCATACGTACGTATCTTGCATAACTTAAAAGCGAGTAGCCTCAGAACGTTGAAATTTTGTATATAGGACTGCTATAACATGTAGATGTGCACCTCGTATTTTGGTTGCAATTGGCTGCACCAAACGTATATAAATATATTTATATCCACTCTGTTACCCGACTCGGTGATCTCAGTTTCTTTATTTTTATATGCTTCTAAATTGTGCATTTTTTGCTTTAAAAATGATTGAATTATGTTGTTCTTATCTTCCAGTTAAGGTGTTTATGACTTTAGTAAATCTGCATGCAATATTTTTAAAGTTATCAACAATTTAAAAGTTGTTTAAGTGCAGCTAAGCCAAATTATTTTTGCGATGGCGGCCATGCTTATTTGCAAACTTGGCAGAATAACGGATTTATTGCCAATCTAGAGAAACTAAGCTTCACAACAACAAAGATAACGTTTTCTTTTATTATTGTGAATTAAATCATGCTTAATACATTCTGGAATTTATTCGAGGAAATAAGTTTTTAAGATTTACTTCATAATATTTAATATAGATGTTTTGAGTTTTTATGTATTTTTGCCCTTTTGTGAAGTGGGAACTGAATTAATGAGAATTACTGAAACATCTGTGAAAAACTGTTTCTTTTTTATTTCATTTGTGCAATATCTTTTATACATCATTCTAGATTTATTATAGTATTTGAATAGAACATGTGGCAACAATTGGATAATTCTTCAAATGATATAAATTTTGTGCATTCTGAGTTATAATTTGAACAAAATGTATCGCTGTTAAGTGAACCTAGCGCCAAAGTGTCGCTATGGTAAACAAATATAGTAAATTTTAAAGAGTGCGTTTATTCTGTTGTGGTGTATGCGCTATCGACAAAGTAGATTTAATTCAATCCAATAAATTTAAATGAAATGCAAGAAGAAATGCTTATAATTTAATATTCTGTACAAGAAAGTCATGTGGTGTACACGTCAGATTTTTTACTCAGGAATTGTGTTGCATTCTTAACATTACATTATGTTACCACTGTTTGTAGTGGTAGTAAGTTTGCTTGCTGTAGAAGTTGAAGTGCAGTGTGTATTGTGTTACAATGGAGATTAAAGAGGCTGTTGTGTTAAGCAGAGAAATACTATTACATTTTGTGTCAGATATGCAAAAGTTGCCAAGAAGCATTTGAACTTAATCAAACTAGCATATAATGTAAAAAGAATAGGAGGTTGACCATAGTCAAGTTGTGGAAATATTTAAAGATGGATGCTGATTCATGAAGCTACTCAAGAAGGAGACAACTGCTTTGTGAGAATGGTTTCTCTAGTATGACTACACTAAATTTTGTCTGTGACACAAAAGACTATCAAAGCTTTGCATAGACTTGGTGCCCATCTCTAGGTCATTTTCTATATGGCTAAGGCTTTGCGTCTGCAATATGGGTTGCACTTCACGCATACATACAGAAAGAAAGAAGAGGAAGGAAGCTTGTATGTACTGAGAACTAAATGCTACTACATTCATTGTTGTACTCCAGTTGTCAGAAAATGATCTGCAGCTTGTGATTGAGAAGCTAGTATCTCCAGAAATGGTGTATAAAGTGTGAAAGTTGCTTTAAAGTATGAAGTAATACTCCAAAAATGAAACCTATGCCAAACCTCTAAATGACTGTCATTCCAAATTGTGATCTCTGTCAAGAAATCTTTGCAACAGCTTAAGTATGCTAATATGTCTCCTTTCTTTTTATTCAGGTTGTTTTATGAGTAAATTTTTGTTTTAGTTATTTTTCTATTTATTATTTTATTTATGATTATTCGCATTTAATGCAATGTACTTAGCTATGTCCCATTAGAATCAGAAACTTTTTATACAGGAACTGGTTGTCATTTTCATTAATGATAGCATATCAAGCCCTGCTTGTCGCAGATTATACTTTATTAATATTTTATAGCAGTAAATACACTGAGTAGGAAGCCAGCTGAGGTTTGGATGTTTCCAGCTTATACGTTACATTTTAACATTTGAATTATTGAAAATTAACCAAAATTTTAATCCTTTTTATATATTGATTATTCTGTATTCTTTATTGCAGGTATTTTTGTTCTGCCAAGATCTGTGATCAGGAGACAATTTGATATTAAGTGCAAATTCACAGGAACTGTTTATGGTGCAAAACATTTGCTGCATTTCGCAGAAATATACAGTAAAACCTTCTTCTCTTAATGCTGTACTTCAAAATATTCATCATGTTCTGTTGCATAAAGTTGTCATATCCGGGATGCATTTTGTGTGAATACTTATTCAACTCTTTTGTAAAAGAACATAGTTTTTGTCAGACATGCAATACAAAGCAAGCAATCTTTATAATTTGTTCCTGATTTTTATAAAATCCATTTAAATGAAAAATAATTATTTATGAACAATTCACTACCTGTTGTGTTTTGCATCAAAAATATTTAATGTATTGTTATTTTTTTGCACTGTTGTTTTACACATTTAGGTACAATCAGTTTTGTTATATTAAAGAAATTTATCATTTATGGGAAGTGTATGTAAGTTATTAAAAGTCTTTGTCTTTTAATTAATTATATAGTTTGTGACCTTTTTTGTTTATGCAGCTCCTGTGTAAATCGTAAACAGTTATGTATGATTTATGGCATATTTTCCTCTAAAAAGCTTGTTAAAATTTGTGAAAATATTTATTTAGTTTTGCCAACTTAATAATTATAGTCTAAAAATACAGTGAAACCTTCTAAGATGACCATCCTTTTTGCAGTCAATTTCGGTCTTCTTTGGAGATGGTCGCCTTAAAGTACCGGTGTTTATACTGTTAAGAAATATTGGTTCACTGTGTGTGTATAAAAAAAGAGAGAATGTATGCTGTATTATATTTGTGTGATATACACTCTAAATATATATATATAATATATTAAATACATATGCACACAATCATATATATGTGTGTGTGCACACACTCATGTAGTTGAGTCCTAAAATATGCAAGTTTGAACTGTGTTAGTCCACTTATGTGCATTTATTTTTAATGCATTGGAAATTTTTTTTTTAGAAATTTAGAAAAATAATGAAAGATTAGCAGGCAAACTTATTAAAGAAATCATTTTACAAATTTAGGTGTGTTGTGAGGTCATGTTGTAATCATATTTCCGCTGTATTCTTGTTAGTGCATGGATGTGTGCACCTTTGAATAATTTTTACATCCCCTTTTCATTTCAGATTTCTAATGGTTGTAATAGCCTAATATGTACAGTGTTATATTTTTTTAATTCTGTAACGCTTTACAAACAGCTGAATCAACTTGGAAACAGATGATCTGAACTTATGGGAGAGGTAAATGCAGTACGTTTCTGTGGATGCAGTTACTCTTCATGACTTCCCCTCTTAAACCATTTTTCTTTTCTGTAGCTTCCTTTATTGTGAGATTATGCATGTTGTATAGCATATAAAATGCATACTGTAATCTACGCTAGGCTTTTGATAGGAGAGGCAAAAATTATTTATGGGTTTGTAACTGCAAACTGGACAATCAAATCTTTTAGCACGCATGAGAGAAAGTGTGGTATATGTATATATACTGTACTAAAATCATGCCATTTCATAAATAATTTTTGTTTGAAGTGTCACAATTAATGTTGTAAATGCAAATTTTTGATAATTTGATTGAATGATTTTAATAAAATATCTTGGTTTAAGTAACTTCCTATTTGCCATAGTCATATCAGTTTAGGAAATGTTTGTGGTGATCTGAAGAGTTGCTGTAAAAATGCACTGAAAATAATATATGTAGCAGTGAATACAAAACAGCAGGAAATTAAATTTATGCAGACAGTATATTAGGAAAATCATGGGATAACATTTAGTAAAATTTAAAATGTTCTCGGTTTGCCAGGCATCTTTACTAGCTGCAAATACTTTATCCTTATCCCATTAAAGAACAGTAGAGATCAACTTGACAAATGGGGACTAAAATTTCTCAGCTTGGTGTTGATTAATAAAACAAAAATTTTACTAAGAAAAATGGAAGTTTATTTCCTTACTAGTAACAAAATTTTATTTAATGTTTTTACTAACATGTCCTTTAAATGGTCAAAAACACTACATTTTTGCCAAAATTTCAATTTTTATTGCTGTTTTCTGGTATAAAACTGTATTATATTAAGCAAATAATTTTAATAAACAGTATTTCTAAATGGAAGTATTAATAAAATGTTTAAGCAGTAGTTCTCATGTGAATTTTATGCCTGAAATGCAGTGCTAAGAGTGGGCTAATTGCTCTGTCCACAAGTAAACTAGTTCATTGACACAGTGTTTATGTTTATAACACTGTAAATATGTACCTATAACTATGTGCATCGTTTTATTCATTCTCTGAAGTAGATTAGTATTAGTTGCTCCCATCTTTATGATAAAAGTTTTAAAAAAATGTGTGTATATAATATATGTTATCTTTTGCATATTCTTTCATTTCTTAAAAGAGCGTTTTGTAACACATAAATTAATGTTATTCTGCCTCAGGCTGATTGAAAATCGTATATTTTTTACAGAAATGTATCATTTTACATGCATTTTTTTTTCCTTTGTTATTTGGTTTGCAATTTCCTAAAGCACATAATATTACTGCCATGTTTTACAACTGTGTTTCTGAACCTTGATATTACTGAAATAAAGCTATATTTAGGTTATATATATATATATATTCTTTTAAACCTCACATTTGCTGTATTCCTTATGTGAAGTCCTCTGAAGGTACTCATTTTTCAGTATCATTTCTGTTTGCAAATGTGTTGCCAGACTTTCAATCCTCTTGCTGAGAACAGACTTGTTTTGTAGCTGTTTGCTCATGAGTGGTGTTGTTTGATACTGAATTGTGTTACTGTTAGTTATGGTGCTTAGTTGTTGCATAATTTTTTTTTTTCTTTCGAATTTTCATGTTTCTGTGTGTGGGCATATTCTTCTTTAATTCTTTTCTGCATATAATTTTTTTAAAGTTTTGTGGCATTTTATTGAATGCTGTATGCAATATGTTTGTAATGAAAATGCTCATTAATGTTACAAAATGCTACATATTAATTATAAAATTTATTTTAATTCAGTAATCTCTGCCTTTTTTAATTATTAAAGCTAGTCATTTTTTTTTAAACAGCAGATTAAAAAAATTTAGTACATATGCTGCTTGAAAAAGAAGGTTTTTTTATTAAGATTGCACTTGTTTTCAAATTCACTTAGTTCCCTCTTTCATAATTTTTTTAAAAAAATTTTCAAGCATATATGCTGATGTTTGATTTTAAATTTTACTTGAACTTAAGTTTTGAATTAAAGTATCAATGAAATTATTTAATATAATATATTAAAAATATACTAAAAAAAGAATTTGTGTAAAAACCCTCATATAACATGGAGGTTCCTAGGGACATACAGCATGGAGGTTCCTTGCTATTTTAAACAAATCCATTTTATGTGAAGTTATAAAAATAATGTAAAATTAACATAAAGTTTACTAGAATATACTGTCTTGCTTTTTTATGTCAGACATATGTTTAACATAAGTACCAATCATTAATAAGATGTTAAGTATGCTAAATACATTAATGCTAAACTTCCTACTTAATTTTCTGGTATTATTCTTATATTAAATATTTTTTTCTTTGTTACGGAACATCAGATAATATCTAGATTTTTAGTGATCTCTTTTCTCTGCCTTCCCTTTTTTAAAGTAATTTACTTGTCTTAATATTTCCTCCCATTTTTCAGATGTAATTCAGTACTGAATTTATGTCTCAAGAAACTGAGTTTATATATATTTTAGATTTTATTAATGCACAAACTATGCATAAAGAAAAATGCCAGGAAACTTAAAATGTGTTTGATGGACTAAATTTTATTGCATTTTTTGAATTCTTATGTTGTATTAGAGTGAAAGTATGTTTTAAGTATATTATGTTATGGGGAATACAATATAATATGCTTTGTCATCTGGAATTTTGTGTATGGAGAGATGAAAAGCAGAATTTTTATTCTATAAATTTTAATCTATTGGTTTGTTTGGAAGCATAAATTATTGTAGATGCTGAAAAGTTCCTTCTCACATTCCATTCAATTTTTAGTATCTAGTCATGTGTAAGGGCAGTAATGCTGCTGATTAAGGTTATACTGGTGCCTTAAACTGTTTTCCTACCCACTTAAGTAGTGAAAATGTTGATATCTTTAAAAATATTTTTTTGGATGATGGGTTGTTTTTGGTGAAATTGAAAGTCACCTCTCAAATTATTCTATACACAGCATTAGTAGGTTGATACGAAAATCTCTAAAGATATAAATTTTTGAATTCATGCCTTTAGCTGCCAATACCTTATGAATATGTATATACCACAGACTTGCAAGTTTTATATTTTGAAAATTAGAGATCGTGGTTATATTTCGCATATAATTACTTTATTGGAAAACTATGAAATAATGCAGAGTACCATCCCGACATCAAAATCTATTACTTATTTTAATTAGACAGAATTTTTCAAAAATTTATTAAAAGTTGAATGAATTGTTTTCAAAAGGGTAAATGAAAATCCTTTGTCTTTTGATAAAAACCTAATTTATTTCTGTGTTATTTTTTTGTCAAATTTTTTCTCTTATGGTTTCTGATCATATCTGAACTCATTTTAATTTGCTGTGCTGTTGTTTATTATGAATATTTTATCATATTTATCTTGATATTCTTTGTTTTTTATTTTTTATTTGAGGAATGAACGAAAGGTTAAATAATTATTTCAAATTATAATGCTAATAAATGAATAGTAAGCAGCTGGTAGGATTGAATACAAGGTTTTAATTTCATCATTAATGTTTATTGTTAATATTCTGAAACTTAACATTTTTATATGTTCGTTTACCTTTTGGAAAATATTCTCTTTATTTTGCCAGGTGTTATACTTCATCCAAAAAAATTCCTGTAAATGAAAGAACTTTCATTTTCCCCATTGCATTCAAAGGGCGTAACAGTAGTCATGTATCATCATTTGTACTTTGGGATGTGCAATGTTTGCAAAAAGAAACACATGCATTTTTAACCTTTTGCTCTCAGCGTATTGACTTATGTAGTACACCAACAACTTCAGCGTTATATTAGTTACAAGTGTACATATATAACATAAAAAATATGGTTGCTGTAATGAAATAAAATATTTGTACCTTAGCTACATTATATAAAACAAATTCATATTTATAAATCTTCAACAAAATGAAAATTTTATGTTTTGTAATTTGTTAATAATGTGATAATTTTCAAAACAATCATTCATATGCATACAGGTTTTCCTGGCGTAAATAAGATTAACTTCACTAGTTTAGCTTGTTATCTCTAACAAGCATGTCACCAAAGCAGCAACAGTGGATTTAAAGTTCATTCTTGAATATCACATTATTGATGGCAACGAAGTGCAAAGGGATAAGTTTCTGATTTACTTCTTTGACAATGTATTTGTAAAAAAGATTATTCGTGCTGTTTCAAGGGTTGTATTACAACAAAATTTTCAGCAATAAAAAGCAGTGTTCAGCATGACTATATAGCTAAAAGCATATATATATATAAGAATAAATAATAAAGTTAAATTAAATTTAAATAATTCTCTTGTGCCATTGCTGCAAGGAATGAAATTTGAATTTAATAAACATTCTTTATTCGTATAAATTTAATTCTATACAAATATATGATAATTGCTGTGAACTAATTTACAATATCATTTAAATTCTGAGAACATATGTAAATTCAGTGCAAGTATCTAACAACCATGGAAATTTATTTCCTAAACAGTATTGATTAATTGATTATATTATCTCCTAAGTTTAATTAAAGTAGAATTATTTTAAAAGAGTGAATCCATACTGGTAAGTTATATTTTGAAAGATGTTTTGAAGTAATTTGAAAGCAAAATGTTAATAATGTTTTAACGGGGACTGGAGTTAAATCATCATGAAGAATAAATTTCAATTGTAAAAGGAAAAATTAAAAACATGTAATCATTGTCATTGATCGGAAATTTATAATATTCCAAAAAATTAAGCCTAAAAAATTAGGTTTGGAGGCAAATTCCCCTTGATAAGATCTGTCTCCTGCCTGCACAACAGTTATTCACTAGAGCAAATTAATTTAGTCTTAGAAATTTTTTAAGATTAATTTTTTGGAATATTATATATTTTTCCCAGTTATCATTTATTTTTATGCAATTAAAATTTCAATTTCTATTAACTTTAAATTTATACAAATAAAGAATGTTTGTTAAATTTATAGATATATATATATATATATATATGCGCAATAATTAAATCTCAAGCTATTGCTATTGACTGATACAAAACTTTTAGAAAATCTTTTATAGTTTATGAACCCATAAAGAAATTTTGGAAACATTTTTTAATGTGATGATTTAAAAATCATGTGGGTTACAAATAATTCTTCATCAATGCATGTGAACTTGTTAATGTATAACATTTCAGTATATGTTCAGATTTATTCTGTCCCCAATGCATGCTTTGTCAGAATAAATTGACTGACTGCAGCATATGAGTAACTTAAGCAACTAAATAGTATTATTAGGTAATTTAAAAAATATCATCTTGTATTATTTTTTGTTTGTGTCTTTCTGTTCCCGTGATATATGCTTGTTTAAATATGTTAATCTTATTCACTGTTCCTATTTTATATGTGATGTACTTGTATACCTGTTCCTTTCCTTGTATAATGAATAAGTATTAAACCAGAACATACTTTAATGGGAAAAGGAAGTCCCCCTCCCCCTCTCGACAGAGGAGATACCTTCTTTCGCTTATTTCAAATGCAAATGAAGCCCATCGGGAATCTATACTAGAAAAATGACAAGTCTGAACCCTGGATCACTTGATTGATGAAAAAAGTAGTCAGCTGTTAGCCTTGGTGTGAATTGCAGGACACGCTGAACACTGTTTTTTCAAATGAGAATTGCAGTTTAATCCCATTTGGGAATATTATCAAATTACTGCTTGAATTAATTATTTTAAAAGATTTTCAAAGCTCATTTATTCCAGCTGTTGCTGTTGTGGAGCTGACATTTTGTTTCACCAAAGCAGTGGAAAATTATTATTTGCTTTAAATCAAAGTTTTATAGCATTTTTGCTTGCTTTCAAATTTTTGCATGAAAACTATAAAGTGTAAAATATGTATATGGTAATTACTTTATGAATTGTATTTATAAGAGATTATATGGGAGCTGATTATTGGGTGTTCTAAATTGGGATTTACCTTATAAATTTTAGATCTCATTGTGTTTATAATGGTTAAAATCTATTGTAACTAAAAGAAAAGAAGCATAAATTAAATAAATAAATTACTAAAGTCTGCCAGGAAATGGTTAAAAATGTGTGGCTTTATAAGATAGTGGCTATTTTTTTAAAAAATATTTATATTTTATTTAGTAGTCTTAAAATTAACAGCATCACAATGCAAAATTGTTTCTAGTTTGCATGAATTAAAAGATAACAACTTTGTAACTATCGATTTCAGGATTTGGCTTAACATAATAACATAAATACTAGTAATTTTGTGTTTCTGTAAAATGGCATAGTTAATAGGATTTTGTTATTTGATAAGCAACCAGTTTCATGTAGTAAACCCTTTTGGATGGCATCTTGCCATTTGACAAGGCAAGGCAGAATATACTGTTTTTTTACTGGCCTCTCTGATGTAACTCGTCGAGTATGATTTTATTTTAATTGAAGAATTCGCAGTTGCACAAAGGTGTTCATTCATAGCAATCCATTACCTCATTCCTGTTTCTACTTAATTCATGTTTCTTTTAGGAAGTAAAGGTAAGGTAGATATGCACTTGTACAAGACTAACTTATCGTATCTTACTTGTACAAGATATTCTGTTTTATTTGTACTTATATAAAATGTTCTGTTTATGCACATGGTTCAGTGTGCTTCCAACATACAGTATGAAAGTAAAATCAAGGCAGTAGCTGTAACTGTTATTAAAATATTGAGTACAGTAATATTAACATAGATGTTCATATATACATTTCAGTCTGTTAAGTTCTTGTAAAATGTCTTGTCAGAAATCTTATGTTTAGAGTTAGTGGAAAATGGGAGAGAGAATAAAGAATAAACACAGTAATATGTATAGATTTAGTTAAATTTGAATTCTTTAAAATATTTACAGCAGATTCTTTTTATTTTCTATTTCTTTATTTTTGCAAATCAGTGTAGGTACATTTTAGTGCCTGTGTACTTGGACGTGTATCTGTGTTCTACACCGGAAATGAAAAGCATAACATCTAACAGTAAATAATTTGTGCGATACTTATTTTGTAAGACCTGTAGAATAAGCATTTCTTTAACCTCATTCAATGAATGCTTCCCCCCCCCCTTGGAGAGGAGTGGGTAGTGCTTCTAAAGGTATTTTCTTTATCTGCTGATCCATATTTTATATTATTAGAAATCAAATATCAAATTTAGACCTGTGATCCACTGAATTTAAGAAAATGTTTATTCTGGTTGTCTTAGCCTGAGCATAAAACTTATTAGTTTGCTGCACAATAGTTAATATTATTAATACAACTTGAGAAATACTGTTTACACATGTATAGATTCTAAATTGATTCATTCATCTGCAGCCACTAACTGCTTGAGAATGACTATCCAGACACGATAAGTAATGATTTCTACTTAGAAAGAAGGTGTGCAGTGTGGACTTTAAAAAGAAGTGCTGGAGTATTAAAATAGTGAGAAAAGTGATACAGCTTAGAATGTTTTTGTGTGCATGTGTGTAAATTGTGTATGATTTGGTGTAAATTGTGTATAAATTGCAGTCATTGAATTTCAGATTACAGTTTAAAACTTGAACATTTGCATTAAAAATAGTAAACAAAATATTAAAAATTATACACCTCTTTTAAACTGCAATCGATCCAGAAAACTAGTTCTTTCCTGTTGAATAAAATTTGAGCTAAATTCAAAAAGAAATTTTGATTTAAAAAAGTTTTTTTCCAGTAGTTCTTTTTTGAGTATAAAATAATATAAACAGAAAAATGCGAGATATTTAAGTAAAGTGAAAATATATCTATACAGTACAATAAAATTTCCTCACACCTATTTGAATTTTATCATGTCAGATTTAAATGTCAGTTTTGAAAAGTTGCTTCAGTAACACCAGTTGGCTGATTCTTGATGCATTTCTGAGAAAAGCAATGGTGCAGATGAAAGATGCTTAGGTAGACCAACAGACTTGCGAAATACTGTTTGCACAGGTATTGATTCTAAATTGATTCATTCATCTGTAACCACTAACTGTTTAACCCAAGCATGATAAGTAATAATTTCTACAGGGAAGGATTATATACAGTAGGGAATTTAAAAAGAAGTGCTGGAATGTGAAAATATTAAAATAATGAGAAAAGTTATACAGCTTTGAATGTTTTTCATACATAGCTCAAAAAGCTATGCATATGAAGATACTGTGTAAAATGTAGCATTGTGAATAAAATATGTTTTACTTCAAATGTTAAAAGGTCATGTTTCTGTGAATTTAATTAAGTTATATTCTTCATGTTTTGTAATAAAATTAAACATATTCAAACAATTTTATCAAGTTTAATCAAAATGGTTTAAGATTTTACAGATACCCTGTAGAATTTTGAAATTTTGCTGGCAATGTATTATGGGGTATTAGATGGAAAATATTATTAAGACTTACAGGGAAGTAACTCTTGAAAGAGTGCACTTTCTCATGCTAATGTATATTGCATTTTCATGATGTTAAAGATAAGTAAAAATCTTAGACATTATCAGTAGGCAACATGCTATTATGTTTATATTCATATATTGTAATGAACAGTATATGTAACTGTAATGAATAATGCCTCTCTGAAGTGTTAAAAGTTTAATGTACCTCTTTACGCACCTTCTGGAACATAAGGGATGTCTAATGTTTTGGGAGATTTATTTCTGTCTATGTAACTGTACCTACTTTGGTGCATGCTTACAGTAGAAGGTAAATATTTAAATATACTGAATAATGCCTCTCTGAAGTGTTAAAAGTTTAATGTACCTCTTTATGCACCTTCTGGAACATAAGGGATGTCTAATGTTTTGGGAGATTTATTTCTGTCTATGTAACTGTACTACTTTGGTGCATGCTTACAGTAGAAGGTAAATATTTAAATATACTTGCATCTTGCTTATCTTGATATTTGGTTTTAGCTACCATGATATCATGGCTTTGCTGAAATTTAAATTTGTTGATTATTAGTTATTTTTATGTTGAGATGCAGGAATCTATGGAGTTTTTGTTTGCTTGTTTATATATTTTTGGGAAGGTATAATTTCTCTTAAAATTTTGTATTTTCATATATATCTAAGCTTTTGTTAAGTAAAGTAGCAGTAAATCTGAAAATTTCTTTTTAGTAAATAACTTGGCAAATCAATAAGCTGCTGTAATTGTACAATTCTTGAGCTAATTGTTATCTTATTTCAGCCACGATTTGTTTTAAACTTTATTCTGTCAGTGCACCTGGTTATCTGTAAATTTAAAAGTCAAATGACAGATTGTTATGTGTCTTACAAGTCTTTCTAGAAAGTTGTAAAATGTATCTGAAACAATACATTTAATTTGTTTTCAAAATATTTGTGAATTTGGATTTTTTTTTTTGTTTTGTTTTGTTTTGTTTGTTACTCTTGGAGAGCTCATCTTTTTAATGAATAGTTTATCTGCTTTTAAGAGGTGCATGCATCATATACTGGTTTAATGCTATGTATACAAAAATTTGGGAACTTGCTTTTTCAATTTAAAATTTTTTACCACCACTAGTATTGTTAATTTACACATGCTTCTAAAATTCTTTAAGCAGAATTTAAATTGTGTCATTTTTTGATGGATTTTAATA